CATCGTTACATTACAATATATACATACAATAAAATTAAATTAAATACAAAATTAAATTAAATACATTCTACTTTAAATTGATGTTAAACATCATACATACAATATTATTCAATAGAATGAACAAATATAAAACATACTTTATGCAAAAATTCTGATAAACCCTGTCACTACGTATTCGATTACACGATAGTGAATAATTTAGTACGCGTATATATATATATATATATATATATATATATATATATATATATATATATATCATGTATATAACTCTGTATATATACAAACTATGTAATATATTGATATTAAAAATGTTAAAAACAAGACTTTTCAGAATATTAAAAATAAGACTTTTGAGCGGAAGCATATGTACGTTGGGTAGTTGTATTACATGGAGAGCTAGCGTTAGATAAGTTCGTTAGATCCGCGGCTTTCACTATCCGACACTTCGCGTTTTTATCAGCTTGTCCGTCCGTTCGTAGAATAAAAAAAAAAAAAGTTGTAATCGGAAGGAGGAGCGCACGAGTTGCGCTCGGCTCGAGTAAGAACTGATTCGATAACTTTTGACGACGACCGTTTGTTTAGGCACAAAGGATTCCTGAAAGACTGCCCGGACGGCTTGCTGACGGAACAGGTATGACCTCGTTTTCAGCTGGCACGTTAATTAAACGAAAATCAATAGAAACGTCAAGAAAAGAGGCGGCTCGAAGATAAGAGTGCCTGTTGCGTGATTTCAGGGCTTCATAAAGATCTACAAGCAGTTCTTCCCTCAAGGCGATCCGTCGAAATTTGCCTCGCTGGTCTTCAGAGTGTTCGACGAAAACAGCGTGAGTAAACCCGACACGGCACGTTGTTTGGATATCCAAAGTCGAACGTGCGCGCGAATGTCGATAAAAATGTCGAGACCAAAGTCGAGATTGCTCGACTTTGTACAATTACTCGATTTCTACAATTTCGTTTCAATCCGCAACGGAGTGTCCTCAATTTCGTATCTATACTACTGTATTACGATCTCAAACGATTTCGCTTTCTTCAAAAGACGAGAAGTCTGTTCGAGAAGATTGAAAATGCCCGATCAGATCTGAAAAGCGTGCAATTATCCCGACGATTCTATCGTATTTATTTATATCTATCTACTCGATCTGTCGAACGACCGAGAATTCCGCCCGGTTGACCAGCAAGCTGCACGAACGATTGTTTTTTACAGGACGGTACGATAGAGTTCGAAGAGTTCATAAGGGCGCTCTCGGTGACGTCGCGCGGCAACTTGGACGAGAAACTCCACTGTAAGTAAACTGCTCGCCGCTTTGATCAAGTTGACCAATACAAGACTTCGAATTAACGCTAGAACCACCAGATTTTGTTGAGTTTGAAGCATAAAATTCCCATCAGGGACACCGAAGTAACAAAAGCGCTACAATAAATTCAAACACTCGAGCTTTTATTTCCATACTTCGCGAAAGATCATTTAAATCTTTAAAAATTCACTATTTCATATCTATGAATTTTCGCCGGTTGATTTACATTTTGAATGATGTTAACAGG